CCCCAGACCAGGGCAGGTGGGTCTGTGGTCCTGGGGAGGAGAGTATGGCCGGGCAGCCCTCAGTCTGCAGGAATTCGCACTCTCCAGAAGCACAAGGCTTTTGGACCACTCATGCCAGTGCAGGCTATGTCTCGTCCCTGAGGGTCCAGGGCAGCCTTCTGGGGTGGGCAGGATTCCACGCTGACCCCTTGCTGGGGGACATCTTGTGGGGATCACTCCTGCAAAGGGCCCTTGACAGGACCCTTGCCATCTTGAGCTTGAGCCCATACACGTTTCTCCTCTCCTGGAGGCTGAGTTAAGGGAAAAGAGGAAATCTGGTTGCACTGATTTTATAAACATAAATCTCTGCCTCTGACATTTGCAACAGAATGGCTGAGCTCAGGCCTTGTGGTATAATGAGACATTGTATGGTTAGACATTGTGTGCCTCCTAGTTCCTTCTCTGCACAATAACTCTATGACTTTGTTTACCTCTGCTAACTTAATCATATTGTTTGCATATAATCCTATATGAATAGGCAACGTTAGAATGACATTTGGAAAGGTCCATCTGTACCTTGTTAACGATCTTACTTGCTTGTTTGACTGATTTTAGATAAACATATGTTTAGATTTATGACCCCCTTTTGCAAACTTTATTGTCCCTTCGCTGTACACCCTATGATTAAGAGTCATACTTTCTGTATCCCTTTTCTTGTGATTTATGTTTTTGACTTTATTTCAAGATACAATGGAATCTACGTCACTCCTTAAACACTGAAAGGTATATAACCTGTGGTGTGAACAAGTAAACTTGCTGTTTTGGCACTTGCTGCTCTGGCATTGCCTGGCGGTCCTCCAGACCCCACTGCCTATCTATCTTTTCTTCTGCGCACTCCCTCTTCCAGGTTGAGAACATTTGAGTGGGGCTGAGGCTCTCCGCTGGTCGGAAGCCCCCCGGCAGACGTGCCGGACCCCCACAACATCTCTCTCTGCTCCTTGGCCCACTGTAGACTTAGAAGGACTTGGGTCCAACCAGGTGGTGCCATGACTAAGGGCTGCCCTCACACACTGTTCCTCCTTCAAGGATAGGAGGCGCTTCTCTGCTATCTGCGGGAGGAAACGGGGCAGTTACTGGCGCTGCCCCAAGTGTGAGCAGGGCCCAGGGTGGTGGAGACCAGGGCACTTGGGGGACAGGCAGGAAAGCCTGAGGCAGCTGGCTTCCTGTCAAAGACAGAGGGTGTGGCTCTGCCAGGCATCCCGCTGGGCCTCACTGCAGTTTGCATCCTGACTCCCCTCCCTGGCTCCTCTCCATCCTGCTCCATCTGAACCTGCACCTCGGAGTGGCTCCCCAAGAAGCTGAAAATCCCCCGCAGGGTGGGGTAGGCAGTCAGGTGGGACTTGTGTGCCGGGTCCCTCCTGCCCCTGGGGCACCTGGGTTCCCCTACCTCCTTTCTCTACCTGGGCAAGGGTGAGTCCTTCCTCCTGCTCCAGCTCCTGGCTTAGGGCTAACAAATCCATCTGTGAATCTGGGGAAAGCAATTCTTCCAGGGATCAGGATGAATGACGGCCTCCACCTGGAAACAGAAAGAGGAGGGCGTGAGCTTCCCGGGCAGGAAGTAACCTGGAGCCAAGGACATCTGGAGGAGATGCAGAAAGCAGTGAGTGCCCTGTACCCACCCTTCTGGAGCTGTCTCATATCATGGCGACGACCAGCTCCATACACAGACCACAGACCTGGCAGCATACACACAGGCAGACAGAGACACACAAACCACACATAGACACACAAAAAGACCCACATACGACACAGGAAAAGACACAGACACAAGTAACATACACACTCCACACTCACACACAGACACACAAAAACACACAGTAAAAAAATCACAGGCACAAACACACAGCAGAGCTTAATTCCAAGGACCTGAAAGTGACCCCCTTCCCCCCATCGGAATTCTGCAGACCCCAGCACTTCAGGCCAGCCCACCTTGGTGACGAAGTCTTTCTGGGAACACAGATTGTCAATGTAGCTCATGAGGCCTTGGTCTAGGAGCATCCCGTCCCCTTCCTGCTCCACTTCGCCCTCTTCCCATTGTGCCTTGAGCTCTCCCGTGGCCCCAGCGGGAGGCCCCAGCAGGTACTCCATGATGTCCACATACTCCTGCACCACTTCAGAGGGGATCTCCTCAGGGCCCTTGGTCTTCACTGGCTGCCGGGGCGGTGGTAGGTGGCCCTTGGTCTCCGCTGGCCACTGGGGCCTGGGTGGTGGTAGGCAGGCAGGTGGGGCCTACAGGCACGTGCCACCGCGCCCAGCTCAGTTTTGTATTTTTAGAAGAGATGGGGTTTCACCATGTTGGCCAGGTTGGTCTCGAACTCCTGACCTCACGTGATCCACTCACCTCGGCCTACCAAAGTGCTGGGATTACACGTGTGGGCCACTGTGCTCAGCCTTAGATTTTAAAAAATGTTATTTATTTATTTCAGAGTTGGGGTATTGCTATGTTGCCCTTGTGGAACTCCTGGGCTCAAGCCATTCTCCTGTCTTGGCCTCCCAAACTGTTGGGATTACATGTGTGAGCTCCAGTCCTGTGTATTCTCCACAGCTCCCAGTGTGACCATTACTAGAGGCAAAATTCAAATCAGGGGTTGGGGATGGAGAGGGAGGTAGGGCAACGTATTTGACTTTGAAGAGATTTTCTATAAATTTTGGAGGAGTGGGTATGCTACTGGCATCTACTGGGTGGAGGCCAGGGATGCTGTCAAACATCCTACAAAGCATGGAACAGACCCCACACAAAAGGATTATTCCATCCCAAAAGTCAACAATGATTAGGTGGAGAAACCCAGGGCTCTGACCAGTGAGAAGAAATGTTCCAACCAGCAGACTTCTCGGCACCTACCTTCTTCCCATCCCTCCTTGTTTCTGAGATTACCCCACTATAAGACATTAAACAGACTGGACACAGTGGCTCACACCTGTCATCCTAGCACTTTGGGAGGCTGAGGCCGACGGACTGTTGAGGGCAGGAGTTTGAGACCAGCCTGGCCAACATGGCAAAATCCCATCTCTATTAAACATATTTAAAAAAATATTAGCTGAGTTGGGCATGGTGGCTCATGCCTGTAATCCCAGCACGTTGGGAGGCAGAGGAAGGCGGATAACCTGAGGTCGGGAGTTCGAGACCAGCCTGACCAACATGGAGAAACCCCGACTCTGCGAAAAACACAAAATTAGCTGGTCATAGTGGCGCATGCCTGTAATCCCAGCTACTCAGGAGGCTGACGCAGAAGAATGGCTTGACCCTGGGAGGCGGAGGTTGCGGTGAGCCGAGATCGCACCATTGCACTCCAGCGTGGGCAACTCCGTCTGAAAAACAAAAAAATTAGCTGAACGTGGTGGTGCACACCTGTCATCCAACCTACTCCGGAGGCTGAGGCACTGAGAATTACTTGATCCTGTCAGGCAAGGTTGCAGTGTGCCGAGATTTCCCCACTGCACTCCAGCCTGGGCAACACAGTGAGACTCTGTCACACACATCACGCGCGCACACACACACACACATTAAATACGCAAATCAAAGTGAATAATCTCTCAAGACTTGTCAACTTGCAACTACAGCGATACACTTTTAAATCCCGGTATTGAAATTAGTCCCCTACTTGGCCTGTGAACGTCCCATGCCTGCCAAGTGTGTTATCTGAGACGAGCACTTCAATTTGACTGAGCAGGCACCTATCAATCTTATTTGGAAGAAAAGGTGCCAGTAAAAGCCCAAAGAGTATTGCTACCTGATAACTGCACTGCAGTTTGGAGTGTTCAAAGTGCTTTCCTTTTTTTTTTGAGGCGGAGTTTCGCTCTTGTTACCCAGGCTGGAGTGCAATGGCGCGATCTCGGCTCACCGCAACCTCCGCCCCCTGGGTTCAGGCAATTCTCCTGCCTCAGCCTCCTGAGTAGCTGGGATTACAGGCACGCACCACGATGCCCAGCTAATTTTTTGTATTTTTAGTAGAGACAGGGTTTCACCTTGTTGACCAGGATGGTCTCGATCTCTTGACCTCGCGATCCACCCGCCTCGGCCTCCCAAACTGCTGGGATTACAGGCGTGAGCCACCGCGCCCGGCTCAAAGTACTTTCCAATAACATGTTCTGAAATTTGATCTGACAGAGCTTTGGGAGGTGGTTTATTAGGGAGTAGATGCCCTGTCGCACTCGAGGAACCGGGTCAGTGACCTGCTCCAGGACACGGGGCTGGCGGGGAGTGGAGAGAGGCCGGCTGGACTCAGTCTCCAAGTCCCGCATTGGATTCTGCAGGAATAAAAACCATTCTTCATGCTCTTTCCCTTCTTCTGTAAACAAGCAACAAAAAGCTGAGAATGCATCTTACCTGACAGGGAAGTCAAATAATTCGCGTGCGATCATGGGAATCTTTGACTCTTAACCTTGCGAGTAGAGCTGGGTGAGTTCCATTTGTGGTAGGGGACTGGAAAAAACAGGTGTCCGGGCTTCCAGAGCCACATCCCGTCCCCACACAGCCTAGGCCAGGCCAGGTGTTCGTAGGTGAGGCTCGGTAGCTCCAGCTAACCTGGGCAGGGCTTTGTGCGGGGAGGCAGCAAGCGGGGTGAGCGGGCGACGACGCCGGCCTCTAGGTAGTGCGGTGGTGAAGACGTCTTTTTCCAGGGAGTCACAGAAAGCAAATCCATCCTTTTAAAGGGCTCGCGTCCCGCGGCCCTGAACCGGCGCGCTGGAGAACTGCGGCGTTCTCCGAGGTTCAGGGATCACAAGGATCGCAGCCCGGCCCTGTGATCCAGCTTCCTCAGTATTCGCGGTGTGCACCACTCAGGATGACTTGAGGCTTACGTCCCAGGACAAAGAGGGGCAGATCCTTCCTTGAAAGTCCTACTGCGCGAAAACGAAGCCTTCCCCTGGCTGCCTGCCTTCCCGGAGAAGCTGCGTCCCCTCAGGCTCCGGGCGCCTGCCACAGCCCATTTCCGGCGCGCACCAGGAAGTCCGGAGCTCTGGCCCCGCCTTAGCCACCTCCTCCATCGCTCCGCCCCGCTCCATCGCGCCTGCGTAGTTAGGGGGTCGGCGCCCTTCGCTGGAGAAGCAGTTGCAGTTGGTCGGGCGCAGTGTTCTGATTCTTTGGCTGCTGGGCAGCCGGCGGAGTCCGTGACGAGGCAGCGGGGACAGGGTGGCGGTTTCTGGCTCGGGCTGGGGCCGGCGGGAGCACGAACGAGCGACGGCGGAAACCGTGGGCCTGTGGACGGCGGCCTCAGCAGCCAGAAGTTAAGGTCCGCGCGGGGCGAGCGTGGGTCGTGCAGGCCCGTGAGGGGGTGCGGGTTGCTGGCGGGCCAGGGGGCAGCGCCCGCTGCCGGCCGGGCCGTGTCGGGGAGGGCGCGCGCGCGCTCTTTGTTCGCCGGCCCGTACTCCTCCGTCACTCTATATCTGTTGCCTCACGCCAAGATTGTTGCCACTCTCCTGTCCCCACTTCCCTTGCGGCTGTCTGCCCCTTAGCGCGCGCTTTGTTTGAAGTAGAGCTGGGAGGCTCGCGGGCGGGACGGTGGCGCTGCGCCAGAATGCCGGCGGGGAGTGGGAGCGTTGCATAATCCCGGGGCGGGGGGAGGGGCGGGTAGGGTCACTCCGGGATCGCGGGCCTGCCCTCGGGCCACCCTTCCTAGGCCCGGGGGTTGGCCGTGGTCCTTGCAAGTTGTTGGTTGCCGGAACGCCCACCGGCCAGTCCTCGCGCGGGCGCAGCCCCCTTCCTGATGCGCGAAACTGTTTCGTGCTTTAGAGAGAGCCACGCACGTTTTTCTCCTTAGTGAGTGACCTTGGATGTATTCGTCTGGGAATGAATGTGTTGAAATTTGCAGTGCGGGACTGCGCAGCCCCTGCGGTTTGGCTTTCTCCAGCATCTTATTGCATTGATTGTGCGTTCTCAATTTTACAGAGGTTTCTTTTGAGTAATGGCTTCAGTAATGTCAACCCATACGCATTTCAAAGTTTGTTTATGCAATGGTTTTTACATTTCTTTTTATTTATAATTTTTGAATTGGATTTTGTGTTTTTGGAGAGATTTTCCGTACGTGGTAGAAGTGTTTTTAATCTTGGTAAATATGGATCATTTGTCTGTTTTATCACGTTCGTCAGAAAGCAGTACAAGGAACATTTAAATGTTTTAAAGGCTTTCTTTCATTCTGCAATGACTTGTGCGAAAGACGACGTACATACTAAAACGGGAATACCTGTCTTTTTTTCTATTGGACTTTTCTGGAAGGAATTCTGTGCAATCTGAAAAGATTGAGGGAGGGTACAGTAATTGCCTTCTATATCGCTTTTGTTAAGCAGTGAAAATTAGGCAAACTTGGAGATTTATACCTGGATGTACTGAGTTTTTGAACACTCCTGAAGTGAAATTTTGGAAAGGGCAGGTGAAATGAGGCTTCTTCCAACCTCCCCCTCCCCCCTGTTTGCTTGGTTAACAGGCAAACACCAAAATATTGTAGTAATAGCTGGTAATTTACAGAACGTTGGTTATCAGACTTGATAGTTATATTAAGGTTGTACAAGATGTGTATGTCAGAGTTATAGGTAGTAGGTTGTAGAGTCTTATGAAAATACAATTTATAATCTTCTGAGTAGCAAAATGGCACCTGTTAAAATGGTTATGAATTGTCAAGGCAATAGGGCCAGTATATGTCTTCAGTCATGTTTTTATGCCTGAAATCCAGGAGACAGTGTAAATGAATGTTCCCTGGAACAGCCATTGCAATGCCATATATTGCTCATTGGTGTCCTTACAGTATATCTCAGATAATGATATGTCTTCCTTACCTGTGAACTGAGGGGTCATGATATTGCTGCGGCTTGTCTGTGCCCCTCTGCATTTTGTGGGTAGTGTCTCACATTTGGCTATCATATTTACAAGATGGGAGTTATTAATTTGGTATTAACTGGAAGAAATTTAGGTGGTTTTCACTTGCCAGTGACTTAACCTGATTGCAGGGCGTAGTTACAGCTTTAATGGCTGCACTCCTTAATTGCTAGCATCTTTTTTCTAGTGTGTCAGATATACATTCTTTTGGTTTATCATTTAGAAGAATATTGCTGAGAAAGCATTTAAATGTTAATACTGTATTTGTTTATATTTATCGGATGCTTAATTAAATGTGTTTTCTTTCCCTTTTCCTGAATGAAAAGAAATTGGAAGAAGAGAATCAACTATTTTGTGCAAGTATTTTGTTCAGTTTAGAAGACATGGTATTGTGAAAACAGTGTAGTCTCAGGAGTTAGACCTGGAGTCAGAATGTAAAAAGATGCTTGGAAGAATGGCCTTCCAAATCAGAAGCATCTGGGTTGAAATTGAGCTCCACTCTGTACTGGGCCAAAGCCATATAACTGATTCATCATGCAGTCTTTTTTTTTTTTAAGAAAAAAATTTTTTTTTAATGTTACTTGAATATGTCAGTTTTATTGTTTCTGTATACACACGTTTGTTACTGAAAATTGCAAAAATAGCACATTGAAAGTCCTTTTATTGGAGTTCAAACTTTTGAAAACAAGAACATTTAATTATACTGTAGTCAAACTACCCAGTGTTTTCTTTACATTCTTGCCCCACAAGTTGGTTTACTTCGATTTTTGATGTTGTGCTTTATCTCACTGATTTCAGCCTTCTAACACACATGAAAATCTTAGGACCTACTGGCTCTTGGGGTCACGTCAGAGAGGAGTATGTTGAAGTTATTCAAACACATTCAAGCTACGTAGGTCTCTTATAAATTACTGGTATCATGGTAGAAAGGAAAAGATAACAAAAAAAGACATCACAGAACTCTTTATCAAAATTATTGGTATACAGGCTGTCCTAGCATAGAGTAGCTTTCTCAACCTGGTGCATAAAATTACCAGCAAGAAATGTACAAGAATAATTGTTAGTGGTTGAATTGGCTTTGTGTCATGATTCCCTGTTTTAGCATTCTCACGCTACGATACACACAGAAACTGCAGCCACATTGGAATGGTTCTCTTCTTGATGCATTTTGAACTCCCATTAGGCAGTGTCTACTAGTTCTTTTTCAAGCCACGGAAATCTGCTGAGTAACAGGTATCTCAATTTTACCCTATTTTCTCTCTGTATAGATAGCAGTGTTCTTACTTCGCTTACTCCTAAGGCAAGCCATCTCTGATGTCCTGGAAGATTCTCTTCTATCCAGTTGTTGAAATGAATCTTCGGGTAGAAGGGAAGGGGGGAATTTGGTCCTAGGGTTGAAAGTCATGTTACTAAGGTTCTTTATTGACATCTCTGACCAGAAGAGAGGCCCCTGAGTCATCCTGGAAATTTTTTTCAGTGAGCAGTTACGAAGACTCTGAGGTCAAGGTTGGGTTAAACTTTTGTGGTGAGTCCATCTGAGGTCTAGTCAACAGCACTAAGTTCTTCCTGGATCTTTGAACCCAGCGGAAAGTGATTCCAGCTCTCAAATTGCTGCAAGGTAGCCTGGAAAGAAATCTATGACCCAGAAAGAGCTGAAAACCCAAAACTCCAGCAAAGAATGGTGAAAGAGCCAACCCCCAAAGCCTTTTAAAACATTCAATTCCTTCTCGATAAACTGGGATAAAATCTATTGTATAAGGCTATTCTGAGAGTTACATGAAATGGACTTACAGAGTTCTCAGTACAGTTCCTGAAATACAGCAACCGATGCCAGTAGATTTCCTTCCCTTTTCTATTTTTGAACTTTGCCGTAGTTATTGGCATTTTTTTAATGTTGCAGTAAACAGTTGGCTTAGTTGTGCATCAGTATTCAGTCCAATTTAATTTCAGATTAGGTCTTTATGGGAGCCTTTTCATGACCTTAAAATTGCCATAAACCCTTTATAGAACAAGTCGTGTTTGACTAAATATATAAACAGAAGGCCGGGTACAGTGGCTCATGTCTGTAACCCCAGCACTTTGGGAGGCTGAGGTGGGCGGGTCACCTGAGGTCAGGAGTTTGAGACCACCCTGAGCAACATGGAGAAACCCCATCTCTACTAAAAATACAAAATTAGCCGGACATGGTGGTACATGCCTGTAATCCCACCTACTTGGGAGGCTGAAGCAGGAGAAATGCTTGAACCCGGGAGGCGAAGGTTGCAGTGAGCCGAGATCAAGCCATTGCACTCCAGCCTGGGCAACAAGAGCGAAATTCTGTCTGAAGAAAATAAAAAAAACCCAGAGATGTATCCTTACAGACTTTATGGTTTGATAGAGGAGATACAAACATATAGTGAGGGAATTCGGCACTGAAGGGTGTCTGGGAAGAGAAGGTGATTCTATAGAATAGCAGAATGGGAGAGGAAAGACATCTGGCTGGAGGGGAAAGCAGGAGCAGAGGCATGAAAGGAGTTAAAGAGACAATGGGGGATTTCAGTCTCAGCCAAAGTTAGCCCCTTGCTGGTTTCCCTTTTTCCTTCCTTTCCTTCCTTTTCTTTCTTTTCATCTTTTGTCTTCCTTTGTGGGTTTGTTTATGTATAGTGTGGGATGAAAACACCTGCCTCATCGGGGGTGAGCTTAAATGAAGTGAAATGATTCATAGGCTCCTGGTATACAGTAAATGACCAGTTGATATTGATGATGATGTCACCACTGCCAACACCACCTGTAGTTTCCAGTGGCTGGTCTGTCTAGGGATGAATTTGGAGGCCACATTTTAAGTTCTACATATAACATTAAGGTGGTTGGTGTTTAATTTGTAGGTAAGGGGAAGCCATTGAAAGGTAGGGACAGGATTGGACCTGTGTTTTAGAACAGTATTTTAATACTGTTGGAGGGGGTTGAAGGAATCTGCTTATGTAGGAACTTTAATCGCTAGAGTCTAGCCTGTTAGATGCTGTTGAAGCCATTTGAGGCATGGAGTATTGGTCTGAAGTCAAAATGTTTAATGTTATGTTAAATGTGCTTTTTTTTTTACCCTGAAAGGAGAAGGGAGAAAGGATTTATTTATTTTTATTTATTTATTTATTTATTTTTTTGAGACGGAGTTTCGCTCTTGTTACCCAGGCTGGAGTGCAATGGCGCAATCTCGGCTCACCGCAACCTCCGCCCCCTGGGTTCAGGCAATTCTCCTGCCTCAGCCTCCTGAGTAGCTGGGATTACAGGCACGCGCCACCATGCCCAGCTAATTTTTTGTAATTTTTAGTAGAGACGGGGTTTCACCATGTTGACCAGGATGGTCTCGATCTCTTGACCTCGTGATCCACCCGCCTCGGCCTCCCAAAGTGCTGGGATTACAGGCTTGAGCCACCGCGCCCG